GAATTCTACGGTGCGCCGGGCTTCAATTTCTGGTTTCCATAAGGCACTTCTCCAATTCTCAAATATCAATTCCCAGTATAAGTAAAGTTGGCGTGATTTTCTTAATCCGTACGGAGTTCCTGAAGAAGTCACAATAATGCCACATTATTACCCGGAAAGAGAAGTCGGGTACTGCCACTAGCGTTGGTCGTTAAAATTAGCAATTAAATCGTAGAATCTAGCAAAGCTAGTTAGTACAGGAGTGAAGAGAGTATTCTTAATTAATCTGGGTCGAAGTGGCAGTTATAAATAAAAAAAGCAGTAACGGTTACATAAACTGATGGCATTTAAATGAAATAGAAAAAGAACATGGAACGTAGGTAGCAATATAAAATATATATCAATAATGACTTTTATTATTGATCATGAAATATTACGGTGATTCTTGTTAAACTTAAGTAAATTAATTAAGCAAAAGCTGCATACTTAGAAATGTAAAATAAGTAACTACAATAATTCAAACGTTTCTACTCATTAAATAATTGGTTAAATGCACAACTTACCCAGTACGGGATTATATTTTTTCACTACACTTCTAAGTGTTTCTTATATTTATTTAAACTTTTTTTTTTTATATATTTATTTAAAATAAGAATCGTCAGTCGAAGACTTAGTAAAAATCGAACAGACTTTATATTTTGAAAAGCGTTACACAGCTGTTTTCAAACAAGATTCATTTGTAAGTGTGGCTCGCAACAGGCACGAGCGGCTCGCCGCCGCCGGCCGCCGCGCGGTCGACTTGTTATCGTTTTTTATGCTACCCGCGCCCGCGCCAACATCGCTGTATATATATATTACATCTGCGTGCGATCTGTTTGTTTGTAAATATTTAATTTGTATATAGTTAGGTTTTAAGTATTTTTTTTTTTAACGTATAATTATTTATTCTTTAGTAGTTATTAAGTTTTCATTAAAAATTAACATAGTTTTAAGATTATTATTTATTTTAATTTATTTGCAGTTTGTAAATAATGATAAACAATTCATAATTAATACGGAGACACGTAAACATTAATTTACTGTTTTATCATTAAATAGAACAACGTTACACTGTTTTGGTTGAGACGATCTCAAGCGTCATTTTTCTCCAGTTAAAACTCTTTATCCAGACTTTATTCTACGATTGTATCCCCTAGTAAACCTTCTCCTTTACCGCTCTCACTGGAGATGATACTCGTTAAAATCGTTGACGAAATTCGTGACGGTAAGGAGAACTCTTGTTTAACTAAGTCAGTTTTACTTGATTTTTCTAATGCTGTAAACAGTCGATTACGATGTTCTCCTTGTTTACTCTGTCAACTTGGCTCTTTTTCATCCGTGCTTATATGGTTTTCCTCTTATCTTCATGGTTGACAGCAGGCAGTAGGTTATTTAGTTTCTAACTGGTTTAACTTGTTTGCTGGGGTTCCTCAAGGTGTAGTGCTCTCTCCTCTTCTATTCTCATTTTTTATTAACTTCCTCACCTCTGATCTTACTATCTTACTCTACATGTACACTAATGACCTGCACATATACGTTCAGAATGATATTCACTTGAATAAGGCTAAATATGTACATATTTGCGGTAAAATCCATCACACTCTCGGCTCACTTTATCAACTTAAAAACTTTCTCCCTTCCCGTACTAAGTCTGCTCTCGTTCAAGCTCTTGTACATCCCCTTTCCGATTATTCTGATGTTTGTACTTCAGATATCAGTCAAACCTTTCTCGATAGATTGGTTCGTTTTCTCAACAATATAATTAGTTTTGTTTTCGGTATGTGCAAATATGACTACATCTCCAATTTTCTTCAACATCATGAGTGCCTTCCTATTTGGAAGCGTAGGTACTTCACGATTGTTTGCACACTTTTCAAGATACTTTTCGATCCACAAGCACCTGAGTATATTCAATTGCGGTTTGAAATCCCGGTGCCTCTCACCTGAACAATCTTCAATCCAGTAGACAGCGACTGGTACTCCAAACCCTTCTCAACATTCTATTCGTAGTTTTGTATTTCATTACTTCACTCTAACTTTGGAATGCATTGCCTTTGAACGTCCGAAGTCCTCCTAAAAACATAATTTCTTTATCTGACATCAGACTCTGTTCGTACTTTATGTGTTATTTTTTATCACCGAATTTAAAGTTCTGTAGTAAATTTGCTGATTGACTGGTAGAGAATGCCTCTTTGGCATTAAGTTCTTTGTCTGTTTTAATAGGTAAATAAATAATAAAAAGCATAATTATTTCTTATATTTTCTACAACGGTACTAAATTAATAAAACAACTTTTGAAGTTGAGTGATCGTGTAGTTTATATTTTCAAACTGAGTGACTTAAATATAAAAAGGGCACAAAATTAAGTATTTGTTTGAAGTTTATTTAAAACAAGTTTTTAAAAACTTTTAGAAATGTAACAAATACATAAATTTTACAGATCGAAACCTTCCATAAGGTGTCTTACAAAATCTTAAAACTAGTGTTTTTGATTAGTAATCCTATTGTACGGAAATTACTTCACGCTAGCAATATATTATATTTTACCAATTTTGCTTTCACAATGCTATACTGAAGAATATTCTTATAAAAAAATGCTTAAATTCCACTTAGTCACTGGCACTCTGTGGATTTTGTAGTCAAGGTGAACTTTTTAAGTATTTTTTATTAAGAATATACTAGCCATATAGACAAGAAATCCTAAAACACAGAAAGATATAACATCCATATAATGCGAACTTGGAATTCTTTCGTTGTGATAAATATCTATTTGTCCCGGAGTCTGTTTTATAGAATCACTGATTCACACTATATGCTTTGCGATTGTAAAGACAGATGGGTCCAATTTACGTATTGGATTTACGTAATGTCGTCAATATTGTGAATTATAAAAAAGCATCACCTAGCGTATTGATTTTTATGATCGTTATGTGTTTTATTTATTACATAACTTCGGTTCTTATATTTATACGAAAATGTAGACAATGAAAACACTAGATAGTTGAGAACCCAATTAGAAGATAGAAGTCTATAAATATTCTTTCAGTATGTTTTTTACCATATACAAATTAAAAACTTTTTAGTTATTGCCCTTTGATCACGAGGACAACAGCTAGCAATAAATAAATTCTTTTTAATTAGTTTAGTTTATTATATTTCATCAATTTCTCATTTACAATGCTATACTGAAATAAAATCATTAAGAGTAGTTTAGTTTAGTTTCATGATTTGCTACAATAATGTTTTCTTGAAGTTACAATAAATCCATTCTCGCTATTGTCTGTCGTTTAGGACAGACAGACGATACAATCAGTTCATATAAACTCTGTAGGATCGCAGAAACAATCTACCGCCTGGGACGCAATAAACGTAATCCGTGGGAGCCCCCACAATATTGATGTCTGTTATTTCGTTGTTTTATATTATTGTCACAATTCGTCTTTCAATGAAGCATATAGAAATACAGTAATGGCTAAGCGGTTCGTTTGATTTCATGCTACTGTCGTAGATTTCTCATAATCCCCAATAAAAAAAAAACATTTGAGGGCTTATACAATTAAATATTAAATCTTTTATGGATATTATTAGGATGAAAAAGTTGATTTTACAAAATTGTTAATTTTTGTGGTACAGTAGTTCTTAATTTGTCGTTATATCATGTCAAATTAAAAGGGCATTTATAATCCCAATTCAGTTTAATGAATACCAATTAAAATTTACACAAACAACTAACCGAGCCTATAAAGCCTATTAATGTTCCGCATTCAGACTGCGTGATTCCATTAGACGGGGTCATTATTATTGTGTGAAATGGATTATAATTTTAATGTTAACATCACATATAGGTAAGTGTACTTATTGTATGGTTTTTTACTAATAGAGGCGTGGACAGATTTGCTTATTGTATCGATACAATACAAAAACAAAGAAAAATTGAAAGAAAAAATAAAATATTTCAATAAGTGATAACAATTGAACATTTTAACGTGAAATCTGGCATCATATTCTATGAACCGTCATCGCTAGAGTTGTCTGGGAGCCACGAGAACAACTCATCTTCACTTCGAACTCACCATGAGTTTAGAAGCAAATAATAACTAAAGTTCACTTATTTAAATAAATTTCTAATCAAATTTGAGACAGAAATTCAAGTAATCATATACACGGGAATGTGTTTATTTAGCTTTTTTTTGATTTGTGGATACAAAGTAATTAAATTTTTATCCTTAAATAAAAAAATATATATGTTGAATATTTATATTGTGTGTAACTGACCTTATTTCTGGTATAACAATGCTATTTTATAAAAGGAATAATATTTATATTCAAAAGCTCTGAGGGTCTAAGGATGTCCAATTTTATATCTAAATCGGCTAAGTAGTTTTTTTTTTAATTTTTTTAAAACAAAACTGGTATCATTCTTCCAAATAACAAATTAGATTAATGTTCATTTCAATGAAGTAAACAATATCATATCTTTTGTTTTTATATCACTTCTGTTACATCGTAACAATTTTTTTTGACAAATAAAAAATACAACTAAAAAAAAAAAATGTAGTCTTGTTTCGTGCTTGTATTATATTACTAGCGATATTTTAAAGTGAACTGTTTTTAAAACTACTGCCAAGTTTATTATGTTCAAAAAAAAATTTGCACCAATCTGTTAAGTATTTGTCACTAGTCTCCGTCAGTGTACTCAGTGTAACCGCAGGGCGGAATCGTGGGCGGGCGATTCTACCCTCAGTCCGCATCCGCCCGGCCCGCCGACCGCTCTGCAAACATCATTACCACAACTGCTTATTCAGCAACAAGTTATTTTAAGTGCTTCGAAAATGTGACTAGCATTCGAACTTTAATGAAAAACATAAAGTTTGCTTTCGTATTTTTAACTTACGCGATAAGTGGATGTTATTAAGTGTACGGGACAAGTTTTGGTTTTTATTGGAATTTTATATGGAGTGTTTATAAAAAAAAATTGTGCGATGGCGGATAAATTACATGAGTATCAAGGGGTGACAGGACGTTTGCATGGAGCTAGAGATAAGTATAGAGAGCGTCTAGCAAACTGGCGGGAACAACATCCTCGAGGTATAAGAGATGTATTGAGAGAATCTTTGTTCGGAATACCCAGCTCTGAGGAACAACCGGAGAGAGTTTGGCAGGACAGCGAGTACAGCGACTTGTTTAGGTAATTGCGAATTTATTAATTTGATAGAATATACAATTTTAAGTTGAATAAAAAATTTAGGTAATATGCTTATTGAGAAAATACTTAAAATATTCACTTTGCCTCAATGTATTCAGAGATTTTTTAAGTATTTTTTATTTAGAATACTTTTGTTATATAGTATTGTGAATGAAAATTGATCAAATTATATGAAGTTTAGGCAATATTCGAATTGTGATAAATACAAATAATCTTTGAAGAGCACTCTTTAAAATGACAATATCTTGAATGTATGAGTTATGAATGAAATACTACTTATGCGTATGACATTTTTTTATTTAAATAGCATCATTGTTATAAATATAAATTATTACTTCCGCCTGTGCTTCCTCTAAGAAATAAAAGAAAAGTTGAATTTCTGTCGAAAGCAGTTTTTGATATGTTAAAAAAACAGTTTGGAAAATAGTAAAACTACTCGTAATTAAATTTCTTTTTTAACTATTATTTAATTACATTACACTTTAGTCGATAGTGCAGTAGACCGAAATACCTATTTATGTAACTAATACTTACTCATAATCGGCTTGACTTTTTAATCGTCCTTAAACTGTAGGTCTTCATCAAGCAGACTACCATCAGCAAAATCTAAAGTTACATTTAGCTAGGTAAATATAGGTTACCTACTTATTACATTAAATTGCTTATTATAACTTTACTTCAAATAAAAACCACTTGTGCACAATTAGCGAGATTAATGCTCTTTAACGTTCTCTCTCAGTCAACTATACATACAAATAATTTCAGTTTTGCTATTAGGTAAATATCATCTTTAATTGAAAGACACTGAAGATTGTCTTAATTGCAAATACAAAAGCACTGAAACCGTTTACAGTTGTTTCATGTAATTAATTAAGCGAGTGAAAATATAAGAAATCAGTCGATATCGTCTTTTCAGACATAAATAAGTTGTTTAATTTATAAGCAGAGTTGGGCAAAATGTAATTATATTGATTACAGATTATGATTAGAATGCGTAATCTTTAAGAGCCATATTACATCTCAACTGTGCTTTTCGCGTTATTTTTCTCGGAAATAAAAATAAATTAACAATTTTGACTTGTTGAACAGTGAAGAATAACTCTTGGTATAGAAATAAGTGCCCTAACTTTTTGGAAATTTTGTTTATATATTTAATTAAACCCAAAACACCAGAGAAAGATTTTCATAAAATGCGCAAAGTCACTTTTTTTGAGCTCCTGGATTGAGCTACTGTTCTTAACAAACGAAATGAAAAGAATAGAATGATATCTCGTATAAAGTCGTAAAGTATGCAGTAGCGAAATTTTGAAATAGCACTTATTAAATATAGAAAAAAAATCATATTATAAACCAAAAAACGTTAAAAATTGCTTGAAGTTAACTTTGAATTTCTCTTAGCCACAACAATATTATTTAACAAAATTTATTTACAGATTACTAAAAAAAGTAAAAAAAATAATCTATATTGACGATCGTAATTGTAATGTAGTTATCTCTAGTGACATTTAATTTGTTATTGTAATCTTGATTACTTTTTATGATTAATAAGGCGAACATTGAAAAGAAATTAAAAATAAAAACAAATTATATTACAGTTAATTTTTGTTTTTTAATCAGTCGCTTAAATATTTGGATTGATTATTTTACGAAAAAATCTACTGGGTCATCGTTATTTACGATATGTGGTTTGGATTTCAATAAAAACCACGACTTTTAGATGTTCCCGAACACATTTTTTTTTACTAGTTTCATGTGACTGATGTTCGTTGAATATGTCTTCTAAGTGTTTTCGTTTAAAATGAGTAACCTAAATGGTTTATGTTGTATCGTTAAAACCGCGATTTTTTTATAATTTTGTTTAACAAAATATGCAAATTACAACTTTTGAAGTAATCGTAAACTCAATTTTACAATAAATTAAATATAGCCGTCAAGGATGGTACTAGTACCATATTATTAGTAATATCTCTGCAGTTCGTTTATTCTGTCCAACTTCTGAGTCAAAACTATTTCATGGAGATAAAAGAGTACTAGACGTTGACGCTATAATATTTCTTGGGGTTGTTTGGGTGGATTGCTTGAACATTAATAAAAATACTCTCTGTAGTAGCAAAAAAGTAACAAGTGCTTGAAAAAAAGTCAGTCATGTAGCTTAGTGACTAAAGCAGTCGCCCGGATTGCGAAAAATATGGGTTCAAGTAAAACTTTTAAGCATTTTTCATTAATAATAAATTATATTATGCTAAATAATAATTCAATTCAATCATGTGTAATTTGATTACTAAATACTGTAATCAAGATTGAATATTACATGTCATCTTGGGAATAAGTAATCATGATTATTTTTAATCAGATTATTGATCCGATTAGAACAGTAGTTGATTACGCCCAACTCTGTCTGTAGGTATTAAAATAAGTTAAAGTACTGATCGAATCGAGCAGTTTCATTCACCAGTTATGACGTATTGGTTCACTTTGAAAGGATTTAAAATATCCAACCCCATAGGAGTTTCCAGTAAAACCAGTATTTTTATTTCAACGAAAAAATTTTTTTTTTATATAATTACGAAAAATATATATTCATCATAATATAAATAAAAATGTACAACGTTTGAAAGAAAAATATATTAAATAAAAGCAGCACTAAGATGATGATGACGATTACTAAACGTGATTCGAATAAAATATATAGGTAAGAATTATATAATTAAATAAAGGCTTCATTAAATGCGGTATGATTATAGTATCTGCTTGTTTATTGATTAAAAATATTTGCTTCTTACTTTTTAGCGGCTTACAACTACATATTTGTTTAAATCGCTACAATAAATGCGTGAAAAGATAATGCAAAGAGGCACAGAATAGTGAATTGAAAACGTCCGATTCCGATGTGTTCTTAACGAGTAACAATTGTTATAGCCTGATACAAATAGCAACTTTCAGTATGGAGATCTAACATTAAAACATAACAGCTGTTTATTGTTATTATGAGGGTATCATATATTTCTTTTTTAATATATGAATTAATCCAACGATATTTTCTTTCGGGTTATGAGTAAAAAAAAAAAATACCTTTAATTTCTCAATGGCATGATAAGCAAAATACATATAAAGTGACTTCTACGTATTTTCACGCTGTTACTTATGTTACTTCCATAAAATACATAAATCTTCCTAATATTATATTTGGAAACTCATATTTTTATATATCACGGACAATAAATATTTAAAAAATATTTGTAAAAAAATCAATAATATTAACAATGAAATCGATATTACTAAATTGCGTTAAGTATATTTTGTTTTGAATCCAATGAAAATTTCCATGGGAATATTGCATACCAATATTCCCGTGGAATATTGGTATATAACACGCAATATATGCAGCAGACTTTTGAGTGAAACACATATTCTACTAAATATCATTAAAATCCACTCATAAATATTTAAATAAAAGTTTTATTATATTAAACTACAACAAAAAAACAATTAAGTAAAAAATAAAGTTTAATAAAAATCACTATTTCCTGTAATTTTTTTAGTTGGATTCCAGTAATTTTCATTGTCGCTATGATAAATAAAACCAAAATTTGTGAAAAAAATCGTGTTAGTAATTTTGCGTGAATAAATGAAGGTTTTTTGACCTGATGTTTTTTTATACCTTCCGCTTGTTTTTATTAACAATAAATTATCTTCGAAGATATAAAATAAAACGTAATTGTTCAGTTAAGCGACAGTCGGCTCCGTTATACCCGTTACACCTATATCCATCTTTTGAGCTATTGAATCTCAGGTAGACACTTTCAAAGGAAATTGTATTTAAGAATTTTCCTTATTGACAAATTGACACAGATTGATCGAAAAGTTTTGGGGCGTGTGATGGTAGAAAAGAATAATTTCTTTAATTCTATATTATATTTATATGATGAATTTATATTAATTTCGCAACATACACGACAGCAAAGTACTATTTTTGTTAACTACTAGCGTTTCGCCAGTGGCTTCGCTCGCGTGGTCTCTAGAGATCTGTTTAGTGGGAAAAAAATTAGGCTATCCGTGTCATGATATGAAACCTTATTCTTACCTTATAATAAAATAATTAAAATGACAAATTGAATAGTTTACAATGGTTACTATGGTGACGTTTTAATTCCACTCCCCTTTTTTATCCTTTTATTTGCTGTTTTTTCGGGATTGAACACATCCTAGTATCGCCTCAAAATAATCTCTCCAATCATGGTCAGATCTATGTTCCGGGGCTTTTCCGACACGACCTCATTTAACTCTCCTATAGAATAAAGCCTTCTAAACGTAACTCTGTATTGGTATACATGCAAAACTTTGCACGTATGGACATTCAAAAGCTGTTTCAAGATACGTCTGTCATAGATTGGACTGATGTTCTCTCGACTCGTGATATAGATGACATGATAAAAAAATTCAATGGTTTTGAATCTCTTTGATAATTACGCACCACTACACACAGTAAAAATTTAAAGACCTACAGCTCCTCTGTATACTCCTTTGGTACGAATCGCGATGCGAAGACGTAATAGTGCTGTTCTCAAATTAAAAAAACATAGGACCAGTGACAATTGGGCCAACTTTAAAACTGTGCGTAACTGTAACCGGATGGTGAGAGCTACCAAACGCCGCTATTTTCATGATAATAGCCTTCAATCATATCCAGCAGATACGTAGAAATTCCTTAGCTCTCTTGGTCTCGTTAAATTTAAAAATGACATCCTCCTATATTCCTTTTCACTTAATGATATCAATCAACACTTCTCAGTTAACTCTTCATCTATTCTATAGATACCTTAAAGCTATTAGTCTTATTCTTCGGAATCTGAGGTTCGCAAGACCATTTTAACAATTAAATCGAAGGCAATATCTCGATTCTGGACAGTATTCTACCAATTATTACTTACATATTAAATCATTCCCTATCTACTGGAGTTTTCCCAGCCAGCTGGCTCATAGCACATGTTATGCCACTCCCTAAAGTTAGTACTCCAACAACGTTCACCCAATTAATACCAATACCTTTTCTGCCATTTATATCGAAAGTTTTGGAAGCCATTGTCCATAGTCAACTGTCTGCTCATATAGCCAGGGATTATATCTTGAATCAGTATCAGTCCGGTTTTCAACGAAGGCATAGCACCACTACAGCTCTATTAAAAGTAAGGATTTGCGCGATGGCATGGAGATGTCACGGTTAACGGTATTAGTAAAAGGTAATATCGATTTCTCTAACGCTTTCATTACTTTTGACCTTGACATTTTCCTTGCGTTAAATTCTCACTTGCGAATATTATCTCCGGAAATAGACTGGTTTTCTTCCTATCTTCAGGAGCTGACGCCCCGCGCCGACGCAGGCGGTTCATACAAAGCACGGGTTGTTGAATTGGTCTGATTTAACTGCTGGCGTTCCACAAGGTGATAGTATTTCTCCCCTTCTCTTCTCAATCTTCATCAATATGATCTCATCTATTCTCGGTAACTCTCATCATCTGTATGTGGATGATCTGCTAATTTATGCTCAAGCTGAAAAAAATTACTTAGGCAATATAATAATTTCTATTACTTTAAAAAAATCTCAGACTGGTCTGAAACTTTTGGTATTCGTGTCAATCCTAATAAGTACCAGGCCATTATCGTTGGTACTTCACGTCTTTTAACAAAGTTGTGCGCCTGGATATTTGAAACGTAAGTTTCAGTTTCTGGGTGCTTCACACAGCCGCAACCTTTGCCCAGACAACAAAGAAACTTTCGCCACTCCTTTTCACCATACAGGGTTCACTTCAAACTCATTCAGGCTATACGACTCTGGAATGCATTTACTCACCATATTCAAGCTGCCCCAAATAAATGTACTTTCAAACGATTATTACGTGAAAATCTTTTGAAGTTTTCAACTGCTTGTAATTAATCTGATATTTTTATATTTATGTTTGTTTGTATTACATATATGTATTTCATTATGATATATAATATGTTTGTTATGTATATTCTATTATTTTGATTTTTTTATTATATATGTGTCTATATTGACTATACATTTTTTGTAACACCGTCTTATTAAAGTATCTATTCCATAACTCTCCGATTGACTGGTAAAGAATGCTTACTGGAATTAATTCTACCATTTGTACGCTTTATTTATGCAAAAACGTTTAAATAAATAAAAGACGGCTTATGTTCACCGCATATGATGTAGTTTCCTGTAAGTGAAAGAATTTCTAAAATAGGTTAAGTAATTTCGGAACCTATTCGATGCAAACAAACAAACAAACAAACAATCAAATCTTTTCCTTGTATAATCTTTTTGTTTATAAAATATAGGCTATGATAACCAATGATAGTGTTCGCTGAAGTTCAATAATTTGGAGTAAGTAAAAATACTAAACTTTTTTTACAATGCTAGTGGTGCACTTAGTGTATGAATAATGTATTTGTTAAATAGGAGTATTTCTTAATTCTGTCTAAATCCCATACCAAGAGAATTTGTTCATAAACATTTGATATATTTCTTATAAATAATATAAATAGCATACATGTAAAGTAATACGAATCACTCCATAGATAAAAAATGTTTTTTTTATGGTACAACATTGTTTACCTTAAGCTGCGTTCAAAGGTAGAAAGAAAGCTAGGTTATAAATGTACGTATTATTGTCTTATTTTATTTATTAACCTTCGAAATTGAAACGACATTGTTTTTATATGTGTTCACTGTTTTTTCCGTGATTTATTGACCGATTTTCGAAATTCTTTATCTGACATTTTATGGGCTCGTATGGTGGTAGGTGGTACCATATAAATTTTATCGAAATCAGATCATTTGTTTTGTTAAAATAATATAAACTTTTATGTAAATGTAGTTATTTTTTTCTAAAGATAAAATGTATTGACACCTATACTTTATCAATATCATGAAAAATCATTATTTTTAAATAAAACCGAGTTCAAACTTTTAGAAGTGAGAAATACTCCTTATTTTAATACTTCATTATTCAAGAAACTGCTATTGAAGTCGGGCGAAGGTTTTATTTAGGTTATTAATAATCGTCCGACTTCAATAGCAGTGTCTTATACAATTACTCCGCTTTTATGATAGGTAAGTATTATTTCTCACTGAATGAAAGTTTGAAGTCAATTCCATTTTTTAATATTTTTTTAATAGAATAAAACTTATTTCCTTTTTCAGGAGAAAAAGTAGGGTTGAACTAATGAGGATATCCGCTGCTGTGATGGGCATAGAATTCTCATATGCTGGGGAGACTGCTTTCGTTTCTCCTACCTTGCTGCAGATAGGAGTGCCGCATCAGCAAATGACACTTGTGTGGGCACTCTCACCACTTATTGGATTCTTCATGACCCCGTTACTTGGGTCTTTGAGCGACAGATGCAAGCTGAAGTACGGAAGGAGAAGACCTTTTATTGTTTTAATGTCATTTGGCGTTTTACTTGGTAAGTAAACACTTTGTGTACTTATTGTTCAGACTATTCCGGATAATGCAATTTGATTCCTTAAGTAATATTAAATTTTATAGTGAATGAATGAATATACTTTATAGCACACAGTAAACATTGACATATAACAAATAACACAGACGCAAAAGGCGACTTTATTGCTTAGGTAGCATTGTTTACCAAGCTGATGATCTAATTTAATTGTTTATTTTATACTTAAAACATAATAATTTATGGTTTTATTCATCAATAGGTTTTGTTTCATATATTTATTTGTACTCAGTGAAAATGATTATAATTTATTCCACGTTGCTTTTTCTTTGTGTCCTCATAAATCTTTTAATTTATGTAGTAAAGATATAATATTACAGGAACTAGCCAAGTCTTCGATATATAAGTTGGTACTTTACTCTTGGGTGCAAAATTGATAATTAAAGAACAAGAAGAAATAAAAAAAAAACTACAAGTGGTAGGGGAATTTTTTTTTGACGATTTAAAAGTGCTTGATACAAGCTTACTTAAATAAAGAATAAAGACATCAAGAAGCTTAAGAATAAAGACATTATCATTTCATTTCAAAAGAATGAAGAACATAAAAAAAACCATGCATATGAACATTAGAGCAATCTATTATTGACGTTTGAAACTAATGATAACGTAAAAGGTTTGCTCATGGTAGCGCAAATTGTTACCAATAGAAACAGCAAATTTATCTCTACCAGGAAAATTGATTCGGTGACTTGTATTTTGACTTATCTATATGTAACTGATTTAATCATATGAATGTGCTTTATTTTTATTGATTTATATAAGTGCCGTGTGGTGACGGCAGAATAAAATACAATTGTCACTACCCCTAATTTTCCCGCGGGTGTCGTAAGAGTCGATAAAGGAACACACTAAGCAGAAAACGGACAGTAGCGCTTTCTGTTAAATCATGTTTTTGATATTGTGATCTCTCACCCGCCTGCCAAGCAAAAACAACAAAACGGAGCAGGTCCTTAGTCCTGCAGTGGACTGTTACGCGCTGTTATGATGATAACTATAACAATATATGTAAATTGCCATCTATGATATAAATGAAGAGATGTGATCTTATTTTTATTGGTGACAAATTAAATTATACTGCATTCTTTTTTATATTTTTGATTTTACAGGCTTGATATTAGTTCCAAATGGGGAATCCATAGGATACGCGCTAGGTGATGAGAGACCTGTCAATAGAACTGAGGTGGCGTCTATCTTAGGACCGCGCAGTTTCGCCCTTGAAGAAGAACGCCCAAACTATCATCCATGGGGTGTGCTTTTTACAGTACTGGGCACGGTCTTTTTGGATTTCGACGCAGACGCGTGTCAGAGCCCGGCGCGGGCTTATCTCCTCGACGTGACAGTTCCAGGTCAGATATATTTGATTGTGACTTTCGTTGTTTTGGCTTCCATCTCGCGATGGCCTGGTTTCTTTTCTACATAAGGTCATTATCACTTTTATCAGTATGTTCATTTGTTTTTCTTTATTTTGATTGTCAAACATGGAGCTTAGTACATATGTTTCGAATAGTTTATATTTTTAAAGTTACCCTTGAATGTTAGTATCATTTTAAAAGTGACTAACCCAATTACAAAATATTGATAAGATTAATGAAATACTTGAATTTAAGTCAAACGTTATTAAATCTTATAACAAGGTATATGGTATACTTCAGAACATGTGGTATACCATATATGGAGTATGCTGCCTTGTTTTATAAAATAAGGCAGCATAATCCACTCTTGTCATTCCTTGTCACCGTTAATGTTTACTTGATTGTATGATGTACTGTTTACTTAATAGTATAATAAGTATGATTCAATTTTTATTCAAATTTTAGTGCTATGTCTCCTATTGAGATGCAATTGTTACGGAAAAATTTACAGGATTGGCCTACAGGCATGGTTGCTTGGAATTTAAGGTTGCATGGAAGTAAAATTAGATAATAAAGCTAAATTAAAAAAGAATTGAATAGATATTTTTCTTTCTCATGCGTGTCGCGTAATCGTCGATTACATAGTTTAATTTGCTACTGATTAGATTAGTAAGCTTATATTTTATTAAATTAGTATGTATTATTTCAACACAGTAACTCTGTGAGAAGTATACTAATGTCTTTTTAAATATTTACAGCACTTGCACAGTGTTGAAAGGCTACTGAAGATTTACTTTGATAAAATATTTAAATAAGTATTAAGATAGTTCTTAAAATAGAAACCACATAAATATTATTTATTTTATAAAGAAGTAACCGAGTACCTACCTACATACAAATAAACTGTCTTGCTTTTCCTGTCATAGATAAGATTGATTGCCATATATGTGGATTTGTAAGTTTACGAATATTCATCATAGTGCTTCGGAAATTTCAGATGATATATCTGTCTCACAATTCGTTATCTTTATTTTGTGCTACGAACGGGCTGTCGAAATGAACGAAAGGGAATTCAAAAACTAATTATGAAACAAAGAACCTTCGTGGTTATGTTCCGAGAAAAAAAGGATAGTTCTTTTTCTAAGTTCATAGAAAGACGATAGATAGCGTGTTGCGCATAGAAAACTGTTCTTAATTAATTACTCGTAAATCATTACAATTTTCGGATCTCGGCTACATGGTTACTGCTACATATTTATCAATTTTCCCTTAAATTTACTTTAATTTAATCTAATTTACGAGAAGAAACGAAACAAAATTGAATTTAAAAAATTCAAAACGTTAATCTGTGACTCAACCCTAAGAAATATAACGACGTATGATTTGGAATTATACTTTATTCGGACGTTATTTTTGCACAAAACTAATTGAAAGTTATTGATTTAAAGGCGAATCTTATATTTTATAGTCAAAAGTATAAATATATTATGTAATAGTCATAATTCGATATCAAAGTACGTGCTCTCATAGTATTTGATTTACAGAAGAGCTCTTTCATAACGTAAATAACACTTTCTAAACACGTCACCTCCCGTCATTGAATTTATTTTGTTATCTAACTCGATTTTTATTTTATTTCGTAGAGAAGAAAGTGATATGTATTAGGTTTCCTCATTTTTAAATTAGATATCGAAATGAGACCTTATTTGTTACTTGATCATGAAACCAAAATAGGGCGTTTGTTTTTGTTTCAAAAAATTGGAAGAGCTACTTACATCTTTAACTAAATTACTTTGACAATGTAATGTATGTTAATCACTAAAAGTTTGGAAATAAAAATAGATCTTTTAATCTAAAAATAAATTTCGTGAAAAAATATTCTCGAAAACTAAAAAGGTGGTTATCAAATTCAATACTTCTTTCGAAGTCGGGTAGTTAAAATATGATTATCGTATTATTGCCTAGCGGTTCGGCAGTAAAATTCAGTTACCAAAAGGTTGAATCTACAATAAGAGTAATAATATATGTATATTCTTACTTAAGATGATTATATATTTATCAAATTGAATTGCTGCTCTCTATCATTTTCAGACTCATAAGTTGTGCCAACTAAAACAACTATCCAATTTTTACTGCTGATGTTATCAACTTAGGGTTATGGAATTAAAGATTTCGAAAAAATATGAGAATATTTCTTCCGCTTTAATTAACGTTGCAGAAGATTAATTTTCCCCTTGACGAATGTTCTTTATTCATGTTAAACCGTTTATAATACAATTAAAATAATCTGTGGCCACGAATAATTTTCTATCATGTTGTTACAGAGGATCACGCAAAAGGTTTAAGCACATTTACAGTGATGGCTGGACTGGGCGGATTCTTGGGATATGCTCTCGGAGGCATCAACTGGGATGAAACAAGGCTTGGTACATGATCAAATATTATAAAAATATTACTTTTTTCCCGCGACTTTGCACGCGTAAATTATAGAATGTCAACCCTGTATGATGCAGCTACCAGTAGGTGAAAGAATTTTTAAAATCGGTCCAGTTGTTTTGGAACCTATTCGAGATGTAGATAGAAAAGACTTGATTGTTGGTTTGCAACAAATTAGTATAGTTAATAACTAGCTTTTGCCCGCGACTTCGTCCGCGTGGTAAAGTTACTTTGAGCAGCATTTCTAAAGAATAATTATTAATTATATCGTGTAAAATACCTGAAATAAAGTTTCATCCCTTATTTTATTCCCTTAGGGGTGGAATTTATCAAAATCTTTTCTTAGGGGATGCCTACGTGATAGTAGCTTTATGCATGCAAAGTCTCATCCCGATCGGTTTAAAATTGACAAAGTTTCATACAAACTTTCATCCCCTATTTTATCCCGTTGGTGGAAGAATTGATCAAAATCCTTTCTTAGGGGATGCTTTAATCATAGTAGCTTTATGCATGCAAAGTCTCAGCCCGATCAGTTTAAAATTGAAAAAGTTTCATACAAACCTTCATCCCCTATTTTATCCCCTTGGGGGAAGAATTGATCAAAATCCTTTCTAAGCGGATGCTTACGGTATAACATCTACCTGAGTATCAAATTTCAGCCCGATCCGCCCAGTAGTTTGGTCTGTGCGTTGATAGATCACTATGTCAGTCAGTCACCTTTGAGTTATATATATTTAAAACATATACATAATCGGGCCTTGTGTGATTGGTAGATGCTAAAGACTAGATACAGCCATGAAAGAGGCTTGCTGTGCTTTCAGTTTTGTTATTTAGGCATAAAAGCACCCTTTAACTCGACGTTGAGCACAGAACTGTCACACCCACCTTATAAACAAGATTTAGCGTTGAAATCTAATGCTGAGACTGCATTTAGTATTAGTCAAAATTTATATTATTACACTGAGACCTAGAAACGGCCAAGCTAGTACAAGGCTCAACGGGAGTAATATATACTCATAGAGGTTAGGAAGTTTGCTTAGTCTTTGTATAATATGAATTTGGACTAATATAAAATTACAATTTCAGCGTAAATTTACTCTGACGCGAAACCTTGTTTATTAATAGTACTTTAAAGGTTTAATGAAACAGAATCTTAATTACATTTTGATGTAGGTTTGGTTGAACCCTTATGATGTTAAAGTGCGGTCGACGTGGACTTCCTAACCAAAGCTTATTGCCAACCGAACATGCTAACCACAGTGCCATTGGTTAGATCTGAAAAAGAAAAAGGTTTTAATATTTTTTACAAAGCTTGGCGATAAATTAAAAATCTGTTAGTAATTCGGGAGAGCAAGATAAGTAAGAAGTAGTAAGGGTTCTCATCTCCCATTTCGTTACATGAGAGGAACAGAAATAATAGCATACTCATAATCTTTTATTAGCCAAACGTGACATATGCCAAACGCAATCTAAAGTGCACCAATTTTCAATTAGATGAATTATAAATGTAAAAATGAACACCAATAAACTAAAACAATATTAAAACTATATGTGACTGTAAATATTAATATTGTTCACCCACTTTTAGGAGAAATTTTTGGTGGCCACGTCAGGGCTGTTTTCTCTTTAATCACCATTATCTTCGTGGCGTGTGTGACGGCAACAGTGACGAGTTTTAAAGAGATTCCTCTAAACGAATTGAATTACCAAGATGAGTTTAGGAAACTAGCGCAGTCAGAACGAAATCAGGAGAGCTTCGACGTGGAAGACCAAAACTTTGATAAAGGGAACTTGAAGAAGAATGCTACTTATGGGTCATTGAACCAACCAGAACTGTCCATGGTAATATTGAACTATGTATATCTACGAAACGTTTTGCTGTGACCATAGTAGCATGCCTATTTTTAAGCATACTTCTTGATAGTATTACAATGATGACATAGACTGCGGATATCAGTGTTGAAATGAGATATTACATCTATGTACCTTGTAGTTATTATCTTGACAGCTATAACACCTCAGTGTAGTTGCTATTTATTATATTAACTTTGTTTTATAAATAGATTTGATTGATAGCCTTTTTGGCGCAAATAGTGCGCACAAAAGCTCATTAGGATCTAAGAAAATATCAGAGTTACACAATTTATAATTTACTTTTTACTTTAAGGCTATTAATTGGAAAAAAAAAATAGTTTGTATTGTCAATGATTCAGATGTCTTCGACAGATTGTTATAATAGTTAGATAAGTTATATGTTTATAAATAAGTTCGTCAGCTTTTGAGCTTTTGAGCATAATAGATCGCATGTTTACGTTTGGATGATCGAATGTTGACGATTGGACTACTACCTACAAGTATTTATAAAAGGTTAATTATTAACTTTTCAGGATGCGGCCTCCCTCAATGCACCAGAAGGCTCTCATGGAGCACAAAATTTATCGTTACGTCATTACCTGAAGTCTATAGTAGTGATGCCCAGCTCTTTGCGCGTGGTGTGTCTAACTAACCTTTTCTGCTGGATGGCTCACGTGTGCTACTCATTATATTTCACGGATTTTGTTGGTGAAGCTGTGTTTGGTGGAAATCCTGCGGTAAGTTCTAAGTCGATTAGTTTAGTACCTTTTTAGGTACTTGAGAGCCTACTCTGCTTGTCCACGAACGAAAATTTGGACAGTGACGCTATCGGGGATTGAAGAAATATTTTTTTAATTTTCTATTTCAAAGATCATATGGATGAGATACATTGTCAAGTCAAGTTTTCCCATAATATTTCAATTAAAATCTTCTGGAGATACTTATAGACTAATAAACCTATAAATGGAATGGAAACACAAATCATATCGAAATGTATACCGGTGAATCATTACTTAAATATTTTTTATTAAACAATGCAAGTGCCGTTTATTTGAAAATAAAGGTATCAAAATTATGTTTCTTTAAGTTTCATCGGATTTTTAACACGAGCCGGTATGATTGTGTACAAAAATGTTTCAGGCGCCAATTGGTACAGAGAGCCGCACCGAGTACGAAGCCGGAGTACGATTCGGTTGTTGGGGTATGGCGATGTATTCCTTGTCCTGTGCTTGCTATTCCACGATAATTGAGAAATTAATAAAGCGGTTTGGGTAAGTGGTGTTAATTTTTTTTTTTCTATAAATATTAAGAAAAAAATGGACATATTATGCTAATGAAATTAATATTTCTTTGATAATAATTAACTTGCTGTATATACCAAAGACCCTGTGATTCGGGTATTTAAAAACAATGTATGAAAATTGCACAATATGTGTTAAATTGCGAGTAGATACTATAAATGATATGTATATTATAAAGTTCTGACAGTGATAAAATAATAAAATTATCAACCAAATCTTTTTAGCAAACGAAATTGACAAATGTTTAGGAGTAGATTTAGACAAGTAACTACAAAACTATCTATCTTAAATACATAAAAAAACTATGACAACTAAAGTACTGATGATCGATGATGTTATAAGATGAATTAGGTAACTATAACACAGATACACATTAAATATCCTATATTAGGGCTATCAAATAGCATAGGTACAATATAGCTTTGTGGTTTTTATAAATAAATGAAACGTGACCCAATGGTCACAATGGTTGGAAGAGGAAGCTTGAGTTGTACCTCTAAACTCAAACTTTTCTAATAAATGTAAAACATGTTCTTCTTATAATTAAACTATATTATCACTTTATTTAAAATATACGAAGAAGTTCTGAATAGAATATATTTCCTGAGAGTTTGTATTTTGCGCATCGCTAGTCAATTTATAGATCGACTATCTCGTTGGATATTATTAGTTTTCGGAATGAATAATTGTTTGATTTGTAATAATGATAGCTGTCGATTTCCTTATGTCATTACTTGTGTTTCTGGAGTAGTTTAAATAAAGGTTAATGTAAACTTTTTTATACATCATTAAATTTATGACAATATAATATTTGCGATTGGATGCTGATAAAAAAACAAAATAACATAGTCTATGTTACTTTTGCTAAAAATCAATGTAACTTTTTATCAAATCTGTTTCAATTTATTAGCATATTTTAGAATAATACAATCCACGTGTCATATCTAAATTATCACTTGACCTACTAGAACACCCTTCAACTTGCGGAGACCTAGTTACTATTTCCTATATATAATAAGATCAGACAGTCCTTGACTTTCAGTCACTCTTCCTGGCTGCATGTCAAAGGCTTCTAACAGATTTAAAAATCAATACTGCTTTATAGGCTTATCGGTTGCAACTATATGAGTAACTATTTAATTTATTATTAAAAGTCGATGGAGCGGAGTACAATAGTCTTGGACAAAGTAGTTGTTTACGATTTCTTAAGTTTCTTTTTAGATTTCGTATATCGCTTATAGAATCACTCGCGTGTTTATCTGTCTCCGTATCTTATCACTGTCACAAACTAATTTACTCGTGAAACTACTGGATCGGTTGAATGGAATTTTTTATACACCTTTATGAGTGGTGTCTCAAAAACGGATTTGTGAACAAAAATTCAGTACTATGTTACTCTCAAGTATCATCTCTGTACTAAGTTTTCCATCAAAATCGATTCAGTGGCTTTAAGCGTTAAGCTAATGGTATCTTCTCTACAAAATTACTGATTGAAGATCAGTAATTTACAATCGGCGATGATAAAGCAGATGGGACAAGTTCTATTATATCTATCTATAGAAAGTCAATTATAAAATATAATAGTTTTATAACTCCTAGGGCCAAGAAAGTATACGTTGGTGGTCTATGCACATATAGTTGTGGCATGTTCATGTTGTGTGCGATACGTGCCCGCGCCGCTGTGTTGCTCTTCAGCTGGACAGCAGGCGTCATGTACTCCACACTTTTTACCATGCCGTACTTGCTGGTGGCACATTATCATGCAACAGGAATGGTAATTATTATTTATTGAAGACTAACATTAGTGGAGAATCGTTTACTTGGAGTTAGTAACTGACTCTGAAATCACGGCTAGTGTAAATTGCTCTTGTCAGCACTGACTACACTACTTTTATGATGCCAGTGCCAGTACTGGTTCACGATGTTGACTCGATAGATTTAAACACTCGTGTTATAGAAATTTGAAGCAACGAGACTTTATATATTCGAAATAATATAGTATCAGGATATTCTGATATAACGATGTACCTAATTTGTGTTAGTGTAGGTCAAATCTTGCTTCAAGAAAAGAATGGCTTCTGTTCTTTTTATTTTTTTGCTCAAATTGGCGGGGGCATTCACGTGCCTCTAGAATTAACCCGCTACCCGCTTTCCATTGAGTTGAAATTATGCATGAATATTATGATATAACTTTGCAATAGAATATTAATATGAAATGGCGTAGATCCGATGATGGAGTAAAGGTAGCTATGGGATCTTCAACGTAGCAAGCCCATTGAGTTTGGGCTGGTTTGATTTGATTTGATGCAGTGCTTTGATCCAAGATAATATGCATGGTCTGATAATGGAACTGGACGGTAACCATGGAAATTTCTAATTAAATAATGCAACATTGTCGAAATTGAACTCCTTTGTCTTTAAAAGATCCCTGGTTGAAGTCAATATAGAATAAACTCGTATGTTAAATTCAATTTATTGCGATTTCAGTGGGACAGCGCTGGTGGTGGATGTGGACAAGAGCGTGGTATCGGTACTGATGTTGCGGTGGTCAGCAGCTGTGTGTTTGTGGCTCAACTGCTGGTGTCGGTCATTATGGGTCTGGCTGTAAAGGCCATGGGCACGACTGCAGCAGTCGTAGCGGTGGCCGCAGCTTTAGCTGCTGCGGCAGCATTCACTGCTACTAAGATAACCTATCTGGATTTATAAATAGGTATTAAGAACGAATACACATCAGTATTATATGAGATTAACACTCATTATACTTGTTTGGATTTTAGTGGAATTTGAATATAGTTGAAAAAGTGTAACTTTTGAATATTTTTCAAGAAAGAATAAAGAAAACAAAAGGTGTACTCAGTATTTTCAAAAAGTGCATCTAATTTCGAAAAGCTTAAATGAGTCTAAAAAACGCATTTTCAACATTTGTAATGCAACGAAAATCTGATTTAACATTACCCACGATGCGCAGAAAATCTTCATTGATAATATTTTAACAAAATTATAAGAACGATTCAAAATCTGAATTTTCGTTTGTTTACTAACAGAGAAGGCTCTGAGGTATGTAGCAATAAGGTTGCCGAGATATAAAAGTTACTCTAGATAATTGCTCAATCTATTTTTATTTTATAATTGCTCAGAAACATTATGAAATATAAAATGAATTTATATCGACTATTAGGGAAGTTTTCGGAGTTTACGACACCGTTAAATACGCCAAACAAGCAGTACGAAAATCTTTATACAAAAATGATATTTTTTAAATTTTTTTAAAGGTGTTGATAATATATTGATTAAGTTTTAAATTATATTTATATATAATCTAATACTGGTGTAGACGATTTTTTTATTTTTATTCTATAGATATATGTACTTGAAATATACCTAAATATATATATATATATATATAAAATCTCTTCTATATATTAATTTAAAATTCGTGTTCTAAATTTCCCGCTAAAACGCTAACCGCTCTCACAGCGTCGATGTGACGTCACAGCCCTCTAACTTAAACAATAACAACAACAGACATCGTTCTATACACACCTTCCTTTTTTTATTATATGGCAGGCATGACTTTAGAGGACTATGACACGTCACGCACTGTCACGTGACTGTGACACGTCACGCGTTGTCACTGTCAAGTCAGTCACGTATGAATATAAAAGTACTCTTAGCGTGTGAGTCAGTCAATCAGTCAAAACAAGGGTTTTTTCATAATTAATTTAAATAATATTATAAATAAAATAAGCATGGTAGTGTAATTATCGGTAATATTATATTAAAATAATCCAAAAATATACATATTTATTTTCGTTTACTGTCTACGCCCTGGTTAAAATAAGTTTGTGTCTAGAAAAATAAAATTACCTTTTTCTTATGGTCATTATTTTCCCACACAAAAATTAGTTATTTTTATATTTATTATTCGAAATATTATAATTATTATCTTGTGGAGTATTTAAGTACTTCCAGTTCGAATAATTTTAGCATGTATGTATACAGTAATTTGAGATGTTCGTCAAGGTCTAAGTAATATTAAATCTTTAAACTTATTTCAAGCTTTACCTTCACTGTAAATAAGACTGCATTTAAAGTCGTTTCATAAGCAAGTTATAATTTACTAAAAGTTTAGTGAAAGAATCATAAAAATATAGTAGTTACATGTGAATAAGCATATAAATTAGTTACTATATTAAGTAAGTTCGCCGATATTTTTTCATTTCCTAGCAAAACAAACAAAATGATACTTCTAGATAGCATTTTATATACCTATATAAAAAGCTATCTCAACAGGAAGCGCCATCAAGATATGTCCATAATGGATTATTACTGTCTCTGATATAAAACTGGCATAAAACAAAATCAAATAACCTAATCTCAGTTTTATTAATTAAAGCATTTTTTGTTCTTTAATTCCATAAGAATTGGTATCTTAAGATAACATATGTACAGAAAAATCATATATTTAATGTATAATAATAAAACTGAGTTGAATAAATGTTAGTCTGTATCTGTAATATCTTAGAGTTAAGATTTAATGATCTGTAAAGAAAGTATATTTAAAGTAAGAGTAATTTTATAGCAATCAGTAGTGACTGAAAATGGAAATATTTCATAATTATTTGTTTATCATATTTTAAATAAAATTGGACTCTATTGCTGTATAAATTACAATACGTAACCTGGAAATTATTAGCATTATTATAATGTCACAGTCTCGATGCATATTGCATAGTTTGAGAAATACAGATTTGATAGTTGCAGGTAAAAATTAAATCTTATGTAGGGAAAAAAGTTTATCTTTTCCTTACGAGAACAATCAATCCTATTAATATTAAAAATATGAAAGTTTCTTTGTTTGGATGTTGGTCCGTCAATCACGCCGAAACTACTATGCGGATTTTGATGAAATTTGGTTAACAGATAGGGTATTAGCTGACTTAGATAATAGGATACTTTTTATCGCATTAAACATTTCCGTATTTTAATTCAAGTAAGCTTCTTACAAGCACTTTTGAGTCACCCAAAAAATTTTTTTTTCGCTCTACCACTTGTTCAGGACGTCTTTTAGCTGACAAGAAGAACAAGCGAAAGAAACTTACCAGCTCTTTATCATAAGTAATGACATTTACAAAATCATGTCATTACTAAAATAATATGTATTATCACAATAATAAATACAATTATCATATATAACAACTATTATCAAAATTTAAGTAGTATTTAATAAATAAATTGTAATCAATTAGGTGTAATAATGACAAATATATAATCGATTAGAATAATATGAAAAAATTAGTATAATTTGATTTCTATAATGACGTGATGATACTAATAACTTAGTTATTAATTAAAATTAAATTATACATGACAATAAAGGTACTAATTTTTTCATATTTTTCTAATCGGTTATATTTATTAATTTAAAAAATAGCACATATTGTATTACTATAAGCTGTATTATTTACATATTAGATTAGCAGATACGCATGCATCTACTATAAGTTAGAAGTATTATTTAGATACCTAAAATTACGTTTTATCAAGAAATGTAATTGAATCTCATGGATATAATGTGATATATGAAATGTGTAGTTGCATATAAATATATTGTGTTCCTCTTTATGAATATATTTACTGTAGACGACATTATAATCTTGTTTTAATTTAGAATGAATTAAGTTAACGTTAGCCTTTAATCTGAATTGGAAATATGTCTAAAGTGTTATTTGATGTCTTCGCCTGAAGCTTTATTGAATTCTGTGGTTAATTTATCATTAGATTCATTAGTGACTAAACGTTTTCATTGTCCACCGATGAAATTGAAATTTTGTAGAGTTCACCATTTATTATGTAATATTGACTAGAGATGCTTCTTTAGTACCCTTTACGGAGTATACAAACAGTTACATATTTAGTAAATATTATAAAATACTAAAGATCTGCCCCTGCTTTTATGGCAATACTTCGCCATGATTTACAGATGTAGATTCAAAAATCATCGTCGTGCTTGTATTTTATTTTTTGTTCCATAGCTCCACAGCTTATTTGAGAAAAAGTTTTGATGCTATATTAACTTTCGTCTCATAAATTAATAGTATTTTTTTTTTAAACCGCATGAAACTCGTACCGTGGTTTTGTGGCATTCACACAGATAAATTTCACTTTGAGCACACCATACTCTTTGAGTATAAACTAAACTCTTTGGGTATTTTAATTTATTCTATTGTTTAAGGCGTCCACAATTAACATTATGGCGCTGAAATTTATTTGTTGACCATATTGTTAGTATGACGTAATTATAGCATCTGGGGCCTGTGGTTAATTCTTTTGATAGATCCATCGCCGCCTTCTGAAGTATTAAAGATTAGGATAGCAGTTTAGTGTGAAACATTATAGAAATGTTTTTCTAGAAAAGATCTATTATCACTATCTTTTAAGAAGGGGCCCTTAAGTTTACAAAGACCGTTTTTTAATCACGAAATTTTTTACATCATCAGTTAGCTCTTTAAAATTACTCTTATTAGTAACATATGGCAAAGATACAATATTGTTTATGCTTAAATTTTTAAATTTTTTATTTTTGCTTGTACCTTTTTGTGGTTGTTCTGGATCTGGATAGACACTGGTGTTGGGTGCGGCATCTGGAAATTCTGGTATACTATTATTGAGGTTCATTTCTTTACTTTTGGAGCACTGTTCACTGGAGTTTTCGTTATTAAAGTCATCGTTCTTCCAGTACTGACTAATTTTAGGTAGTTTTTAATTTTTATCAGTCTCCCTCTTTCTCTTTCGGTATTCGCGCCCACTTAAATATTTTCCGTAACCAGTCATTTTAATATCTAACTTTCACAATCTACTTTATTTTGCTACCATTTGCAGATTCATTAAAATAATAAATACGAAAATCAAAGATACAAATGACCAATTGTTAAACCCACAGGTCAAAACAATCGAACAAATAATACGCAGTGACTATGAGCTCTCTTAAAAAATAGTAAATCTGGGATTCACCTAATATAGTGTTACGAACTCGCCCCAGCGCACCTCCAGCGGCATCAGCGCCACGAAAAATGTACTTCCTTGGTTCACAAAATAAGGTAATTCCAGATCGTCAATGCTCACCCGCGTTGCCAACGTACCGCGATAAAAAATGTAGAAAACAATGGATGCGTTCTAAAACTTATCAACACCTTTTTGTTTAGGAAGTATTGGAATGTTTAATTACCGATTAACTTGAAATTGTATTATGGTCTTTAGTTGTCTATTTAATGGATTTTAAGCAGAACATAATAAATATACTTTTTAAGTAAAATAAAATAATCAGGTACAATGTTCAAAAAATATTTCTGAGCTAGCGGCCTCATTGGCCGGAGCCCTCTTGGGTAGGGGGCCCGTGGTGTTCGGCCAGCCCTTCCCCCCTATACTGTATGAAGTCATCTGGAACCACGTTCTACATTGGATATTTTTGAGTGATCAAGCCTGAGTTATACGAAGCAACCTGAGTGGTGTATATATATTTATATATAATATATTTATTATATCCAAATTTTATTAATACTAATACTAACTAACAAATTTAAATGTGTTAACAATTTAGAGTTGTACCTATATAAATACTATAACATAGCTTTAGTATATTTTAAACGTGGTCAAAACCGTAGTAGATTATATAAAACTACCCTGGAATTGATTTTAAACTTTAATACAGTATTTTCCAAAGTGTGTTCCCTAGAGTTCCGCAAAGCATTATAGGTCTACCAACATATTTGTCATATTTTGACAAATAAGTCA